ACAACATATTTCTCGAGACTCGAATATCATTGCGAATGAATTGGCTCAGATGACATCAAGGTATAAAGTAAGTAAGGAATGTCTAGAGTATCTGATTCATACCAAAAATGAATTGATAGGCCATCCAGAGGTTCTAAGTGTTGGTTCTTCGAATCAACGAGACTGGAGAAGCGAATTGATCGAATACTTGCAAAATCCCAATATAAAAGTGGAAAGAAAGATTAAACTCCAAGCCCTCAATTATGTATTGCTAGATAATGAATTATATAAAAGAGGTTTCGATGGAATCCTATTCAGGTGGCTTGGAAGTCATGAGAGTTATATAGCTATGGCAGAGATACATGAAGACATCTGTGGAGCACATCAGGCTGGAAAGAAGATGAAATGGGTTTTGTCGAGAAAAGGTTTGTATTGGCCAACTATGATTAAGGATTGTATCGAATTCGCAAAAAGTTGTGAAGAGTGTCAAAAACATGGACCAATACAAAAGGTACCAGCAAGTGAGTTGCATTCGATCATCAAACCTTGGCCATTTCGAGGTTGGGCAATGGATTTAATTGGACAAATACACCCACCTTCCTCGAAAAATCACAAATATATATTGGTTGCCATAGATTATTTTACAAAATGGGTTGAAGCTATCCCTTTAAAAGATGTCGAGCAAAAAGACATAATTAATTTCGTCGAAGATCACATTATTACAAGGTTTGGGATTCCTCAAACAATTACTACTGATCAAGGCACAGTCTTCACGGGTCGAAAAGTCGCTCAATATACGGAATCGAGAGGGATTAAGTTGATAACTTCAACACCATATTATGCACAAGCAAATGGTCAAGTCGAGGCTGCTAACAAAGTGGTGATCGGGTTAATCAAAAAGCATGTATCAAGCAGGCCTCGAAGTTGGCACGAAACTCTTGTTCAAATACTATGGGCTTATAGGAATTCGCCTAGAGATGCCACGAAAACTACTCCATATAAATTAGTGTATGGGCATGAGACTATTCTTCCTATTGATATTAACTTACAATCAATTTATATATAGAAACAAAATGAATTACCTATTGATGATTATTGTAATTTAATGTATGATGAGTTGATTTCTTTAGAGGAAGAAAGGTTAATTGCGTTGCAAAGTATTGTTCAACAAAAGGAAAGAGTCAAGAAATCGTACAATAAGAAAGTTAAAACACAACGATTTCGAGTCGGAGACTTAGTATTAAAAGTGATTCTTCCCGTGGATCAAAACTCTCGATACCCAGGGAAGTGGTCTTCCAATTGGGATGGCCCCTTCATAGTCGAGCAAGCATATTCTAAAAATGCATACGTTATTAAAGAAATAAATTCGAATATATGCAAAGTGATGAATGGAAAATATTTAAAGCATTTTCATAACAGAGCAGAATAAATAATAAGTTGTCCAACACAAGCCAAAGATAAAAAAATCTAATTATTACAGAATTTGGACTTAAAGTCTTTGAAAGCTTTGTAAGCCTCGTCCAAATGTTTTCTTCGAGAGGTGCATTGAGCTTCCAAGTGCTTTTTCTGCTCTAAGGTTTTTGCAAGTCGAGAAGATATGACCTTGCCCTGTAGACCCCTAAAATTGTCCGGGTCGGAAAT